TGGCTTCACCAAAAAGTATCAAGTTTCATTTCAAGACTGTTCGTGCCTCTTCCAAAGCAAAGAGAATGCAGGCAACAAGGCAGGCTTCTTATTTTTAAAAGTGCTGGATTTTTTTCTGCAGGTTCACAAGTTGTAATATTATGCAGTGGCCATAACAACTAAACAGTAATACAGTTATTAGTAACAGTAATAACTATACTCAATTATTTTGACATATAGACTGATTTCTAAGATTCCTTAAACTCTGCACAAGCCAAAGTGATGAAGATGAACAGATAGACTACATTCACATTAAAATATGGAACAGAAAAGTTCTGGTTTGAAACACTGTCACTCAATGTTAAAATCAAATATAAAAACAATGACTGAAATGCTTCCAAAAAAGCACTTATAATAATAAAAAGCAAACACCCTAAGCTCAAGTTACATTTGGCACACAATCACAGAGTTTATGAAAGAAGCTATTCAATCAGTAGTCTGAAATCTTAACTTTTAAAATCAAAGCTATGACATTCTGTTCCCTAAAGAAGAGACAGTCTCGCACTTCTCCTGCCAATTAAAAACTGACATAATATACTGACATAGTATACAAATATACTGACAAAAATCAGCATGAACAGATGTACCCATTACCTGCATATTCTACCAACTTGCTCATCATAAATGCATTTTTATTTACCTGCCTGCATTTAAACCACTAACCCAAAACAATCTGTTGTTCCTGCAGCAAAAGTGACCCAAATAATCAGAGGCAACAGCACTCGCTATACCAAAATATCAAGCTATTACTATTGAGAAAGCAAAACTATTAATCATTGTTAACATCTAAAGACATCTAAAAAGATGACTATAGCACTTTTCTTAGATAAAAGGATTTTTTGCTGGCTTCAGAAGAAATGGGTGCAGTTACATAAAAGGGACGTGCATTTCAAGAACAATTCCATTTTTGCCATCATTATAGTAGACGTCACGATGCATATAATGTAATTGCGCTCTAGGTGCATGCTGAGTAACCAATATTTGACCTCCAAAGATACAGCAAAAATATCTTGCAATTATTATCTGTACAGAGGAGAAATTGGAAAGAGATGAGCAAAGTCTTAAGCTGCACGATCTCTCTCTAGTGCCACTTACTCAAGAGAACACTACCGAGAGCAGGCCTAAAACAACAGAAGACTCAATTATCGATACTGCTCATTGTTCCAGGCTACACATACAGATATGAGGAGCCTAA